ACCGTGAGTGAGCACCAACCGCAGGAGTCGGTTGCGGTTCAGACCTCACCCCTCGAGGACGTCAGCGGCGGCGCGACCAGCAGTGAGGCCTACAACAGCGAAACAGGCAGACGTCAATCAGCCATAAAACTGAAGGATGTTGTTGCTCCCATCTTTCGCAAGAATTATAAAAGGGACACTGTACAGACGCCTGTAAATGCTCATGAAGAGAGACACGGTAAGTACTTTACTGAGATCTTACCTGTCCCAGCCCCACAGTGAAAATGTCCATTTTAAGCTTGGATTGGATATTTAAATTCATTCCACTGAAAGCCATACCGCGGGGTTTTTGGAAGTACAGGGTTCTGTGGTAGCAGGTTGGAGGTTGGAGGTGAATTTTAAACTTCAAGCTCACTTTTCTGAAAGATCAGACAGGTTTTTTCAAGAAGGCAATTTTTAATTTTCCCCTTTTTTCAATTTTAACATGCTAAGTAAAAAGTAAGTTCATTTAAGTTAATATTCGTGGTTTTATTTGTCTCCTTTTATCTATTCAAGTGCGACCGGCATTTGGTGGAAAGTGCCGACTAGATTTTCCATTGAAATCTCGGTAACTTTTTATTACATAACAAGCAAAGTGTTGGTGTGGACGTGAGAGAAGGAGATGTGCTTTGTTTTGAAAATATCATTTCAAAATTTTCAGCAAAAAAGTCCTCCATTCACCATGAGTAAGATAAGGCATACAAACCGCAGTTGTCGACATCGTGGAAAAGTGTGCTTGAATCGGCGCTAGCGTCGTGCGCTGATGGTCTCATTGTTGTAGCTCAAATAAACACTTAGGAATAAAAATCGGTTTCCAATTGGCGTACTGGGCCAACCAGTGTATATATGGGAAATTTGCATGCGAATGGAAGGTAGAAAAAATGGTGGCTCACTTTCAAAAGCTCGCAAACGTAATGTTGTGAATTCATTTGCAAACACTTCAAAAAGCTTCTGTCAGCCCGTGAAAAGTAAAGATGACAACACAATGCTGCAGCTGCTATAATAATTTTGCTCTATAATATTCTCCTTTTGCCGCAGTCATTCATGAAATCCACACCCAAAACGTCTACTCATATTAATTAAGTAGCCATGTATAATTATAGCCTTTTGGTTTTGATGCCTCAGTGAGAAATTCAACAATTACTAGAGAAGCCTCAAACAAGTTTAGTGGATATTGCATTCAATTAGGTGAAGACGAGCGCTGAATAGTGGTAATCTGAGAGCGAAGAAAATAAGCTTGGCATAAGTCTGTTAAATAGTTGATGATGACACGCTCTCAATTTTGAAGGCAATAATGCTTAACTAGTTAAATTGCCTTTTAGTTGGACTTCTCAGTTGAGCCGTCGTGCATTTATGAATATCTGTTTTGTTTTCACCATATGCGTTATTTTCAACAATACGTTTGAGGTTAGTTCTATGGGGTTAAACAGAATTGAATTAGAGGGATTCAGTCGAGCAACTTGAGCTCAGTGGCGGGACCCACGATTAATCCGATCGAACAGAAACTGGCTTAACAAGTCTCTGTTAGCGCTCTGAGGAACCATGCGGTGAAGTCTTAATCACTGCTATCACAGAAATTGGGTGGAAACAACCAATGCAGGCAACGAAAAAGGCTAAATAACCTCTAGATACAAATTTACCAACTCGGAAAACCAGTTAAAAATCGATTCAATTTCTTGGTTAGTAAAGGATCTGACAACAGACTAGGGACCAGTTATTAAAACAGTAGACTGCTTATGCATACTTTTAACTGTACTCCTCCTCTTCCCATTCTGTATGCAAAGATTGCCATAAAACATGGCCCAATTTATTCACTAGCTTGATAATCATTTTGCAATTGGAATGAAGCACCCACTGAAAAAACACTTTTTATCCAAAGTACTATGTGACTGTGTTGAACATGCTGTCATGATTATTCTTTTTAGACTCGGAAAAGAAGAAGGTGCAGCATCCCTCCGAAGGAGTCCTAAAGAAACTGCTGCGGTAGGTTTCTCAAATTTGCCTTCTCCACTTATCCGGAATTCCGAAGGCTGGCTGGCATTTCGAACTCCCTCAGTTGACCATGTATTGCAATTTATTGTTCTCCTAAGGTCGGCTTTCCTGAGTCGTATGTGACCTGCATGTGCTGTGCATAGTAATTCTTACTTGTACCCTCATCTTGTTGCTTTCATGCAGCAAGTTAATTGGAAAAGGTATAACTTGTACTTGGGAGCATGTACTATTTAAAACTAGCAACCGACAGCATTGACATTGGTCCTTCTGAAGACGTTTTATGCAAAAATCGTTCACAGTTGCACATTGGCTCATTTAACTCCGCTGCTAGTTTTCACACGTGATAGATACATCCAGTTTGATAAAGTTTACAGTCATTCTTCGTTGCAGTAGACAGGAACCAATGAGAAGTAGACTCGACAGCTGGACCAGGAGCTTTATAAGTCTTACTGTCTCTCTTTATGCTGTGTCAGGGATCTCAATTCCTCTGAGCTCATCCTCCTCCATGTTTCGGCCTCAGATTACTTCTACCAGTTTGATCGTCGTTACAGACGACGTCCATCGTGTTTCATACAGCCGAGTGCTTGCAGAGGCGGTGATCTGCGCATGAATCACGTTATTATGATACTAGATTCGTGCAACATCTATCGCATTCGCTGCCTGCCCGTTTGCCCAACTGAGCCGAGTGTCAAAACAGCAGCAAGCAGACCAATGGCGTGTACGGGCATTGATGATTGGCGCGGCGCGAGCCTGCGTCTAGGCTTGCTATCACCACCCGTCCTCTCTGTAGGTGCAAATCCACAATAATGCCTATCGAAACCTCTTGTTGGCCTAGTGTATCTACCGTATGGCTATTGTGGGGTACCGACGTCGAGACAGTTAAGGCCACGAGCAGACCCCAACCATTACGACCGTCGAGCGCGGACCTGAATAGAAAGATATATTGGGAGCCAGTTGAAAGAGAATTGTGTTCCCTAGCGAATGAATGAGACAGTAAGCTATCAACTAGACGTGGGTACATGCCCGGCAACGCAAAATGCAGGCGCATAAGACGTCAGGGCGCTTTGGGCGACGGCATCTCTGCGTTGGCCTTGGAGCGGATTCGTCGGGTTCTTATTTTCCTCTTTCTACTGCAATACGGAACAACTGTATACTTCGGCAAACTGGTTGTGAACATCGCGTACGAAAAGTGGCAGTAGACTTGAATGAGGCAATGCGTTAATGGAAAACAAAATCTAGTTCGAATTTCTTCAGATGCAGATAATTTAAAGAACAGTGTTCTTTGTGCAGTTTCTCAAGCCTGTAGACGACCTGGGGATCCACTGTCCAAAATGTACTGAATAAAAATTTTCTCATTTTTCCCAAAGGATGCCTTTTCTTGAAATGACATTTCTTGGGATGCCTGCCTTCCAGTTTATACGAAACAATTCTAAAGTATCTTCCGAATGTGTCATTATGCAATGTTGCCTAAATAGTCTTTTTATATTACAAGTCCATCGAAAATTAATTCTCATAACATACTATTCTCATGGCATTAAATGGCATCTGTCATTTTTCATGTCTTCTTCGCACTTTATGCTCAAAGAAAGGATATCATAAAATTTTAAAACATTTCTTTCCGCTTCCCAAATAATTTTGAGTCCGATCTGACGTTGCTTTTGCGTTTAGAGTTTTTATTCTACCAATTATATGCTTTTTGTGGAAGTAATATCATTCATTCCTGTACGTCATAAAGAAAAAACATAAAATGTCCACAAATTTCCCTAATAGAGGCGGAGTCTACTGTATATTTCATGATGGGGCATTAATAAACAAATAGATACGATACAATTTGAGTGGACATTGTAAAATTTTAAAAAAACATAAGCATTAGAAACCTGTTTAAAACGGAAATATGGCCTTTTAAAGGTGACAAAAGAGAAGAAGACGTGATTTGCAATAAAACGAGTACAATAGATCAAATATTTGGTTATTTTTTCTATTAAATATAATTTAATTCACACGAACATCTAAAATCTACAGAAGAATATGCCCACTACCTAAGTTATCATTTTTTATCCTCAGGCAGCTGAAAAGACGTCCGTTCAAGAGCCAGCATCCTGGAGTGCCTGAAATATATTCAGATTATGCTCTAAGTTCATAAATACTGCAACATAACTTAATTCCCAATTTTAAACAAATTTTAAAAATTTGGTTAAGATTGCATGGGATTGGTCACTCACTGTAAATGCAGCTAACCGCATCTGAGAGGACCGGCGTGAGTCTGTGCCCAGGCGTGCTAACACCACCCCTGCGCACTTATGGCATTTGGTTTAGGTGTGCATCCACAATGAGGCCTGCCAACCGGGAGTTTTTTGATGATTTTCAGATTTGTGAAACCTTGTGCGCGGTCCGCAGTCGAATACACACCGCCAGCAACGCGCATCGTGTCGGGCCGAACACATGAATGCGGTCCCGT